CAAACAAACAAACAAACAAGCGTCTACAAAGAAATACTTCAATAAAATCTACTCTGTGATGATAGCTCATTTTAAAACTAAAATTTTAATCAAATCCTTTTACTCATAGACGGTGAACACTATTGGATGTACATTGTTGTAGAACTGGCAGACAATTCCAGAAAAGGCCGCAGGCCCAATAGCCTTCCGCAGGAACTATCAGTTTTACCTGCCCGGGGGGCGGGTATTTTTGATAGTAGATGTAATTTTGCTGAGAATTGTGACGCTCAACATTCCAAATACTACGCACGCAAGTTCTTTGAATTCTGCGCATGCGCCGTTGTTGTAAGCTGTACGATCTAACGAAGAGGTAAGCTCGAAACGTCATCCTTCTTTAAATAAAAATTGGAAAACCTTGGCGATTATTCAACCTATTATTTAATTTTGATATTTTTGTCGCCTGTGCGGTTTTAATTATATTTGTCTTTTTTAAAGAAAAACTGAACTACTGAGAATATAGTAAAACAGTTACAATGTTTTAATCCCTATAGTTGCTGCTGTTTAGTCAAAAATATAATAGCTGAAATAGATACTTTGATAATAATGTATTATAGTAATAAATGGCATTATAATGACCATTTCATGTGATGTCTTTGCTAATGACGTGATAATGAATACAGAAGTCTGTGACATGTTTCGAAGGCAAGTGAATGATTTACTTGAACCGGTAAAAATGTAATTAGAGAATTTTGACATGAGACCATAAAATAATGACTAATGAGGACTTTTGACAACAGTGTTTCGATAACAATGTAATGATAACTGAAATTAATGCCTTAACAAAACTATTCAGTTTCAATTTTATGAGTACTGGATGTCGTACGTTTAGTGATAACGTATGACAATAGTAAGTCTATAACAATTTAATGATAACTGAAATTGATGCTTTTGGTACTGAGGTGTGGCAGTAGTAAGTCGATAGCAATGTGATGATAACTAAAATTGATGCTTTTAGTACTGAGGTATGGCAGTAGTAAGTCGATAACAATGTGATGATAACTGAAATTGATGCTTTTAGTACTGAAGTATGGCAGTAGTAAGTCGATAACAATGTAATGAACCCCGAAACTGGTACATTTTAATCTCTTATTTGATGTCGATTAAGCAGTAATTACGTACTTGGAACTCGTGTTACTCCGTTATTGTACCGATCAAGCCCCAATACAAAGAATAACGCCGTTGTGCAAAGTGAAACTGTATGTAATTCCTGATACCTCCATTTTATTCGTTTGGAAGAGGGTAACAATGTAATTTTGTGTGTGCCCAAAAACTTAATATTTCTCTACTTAGAAATTTCCCGAACGTGTCTAGAACAATTATCATTTGATATTTGCTGATCCCGATTATACATTACCTGTAGTTCAGCAGAAATATTCAACAACAGATGGTTAAAATGGCACAGAGTGAGCCGAGAGACACAACACCGCCTAATGTGTTTCGCTATTTCTCAGACTTTTGATATGCCAGTCGTGTAGTGGTCATTTATAAAGTATTGTTTCAAATCATTGATCGAGCAAAACAACAATGTTATCAAATATGCTAAAATTTAGAGCAATGCACTTAAAAGAACGTTTCTTGATGTGTTAACCTTATCAAAATTGAGCTTCAGTCGCCTTACATAACTATTTGTTGGTTGGTCATGGCTAGTATTTAGTATGCCTGGGATGTCCGAGTCTTCGCGTTCCGCATTCTATGGGGCTATTTCAGAATAACGATTACGATCTACTGTTCGGTAAAACGAGAGTATGTGGTGAGTATTGTGATTTTTTTTTTCTTTTTGATCTACGACTTTAGAATTTTCAAATTAAAACATTACGTTACTGATAATGGTCGATCGTTCACCAGCAAAGGTAGCTAAAATAGGACAGTGTTTTCTCGCAATATTGCTGAACATTTTCTGTCTATTATTGTTTTTAATTTAGGATTAGAATAAATTGCCAATAGATGGCACTCAATTGGATTGTTGTAATAAAATAATGTTCTGTCACACCTATTCTTTGTTTGGCATATTTTTCTAGTATAATATGCAACTTTAAGATATCGAGAAGTATAAATACGCGTCAAAAAATAGAACACTGTTTTTAGTTACCCTGTATTATGTAAAATGCTTTTAGTTACAAATATCTACATAAAATTTAAAATTTTTTTACATGTTGCATAAGGTGGCTAGGCATACCTTTATTTGGTGGTTTGTCCCAGTGTCTCCAGAAAAATTCTCTTGGCGAACAAAACGTTTGGGTTTTATGAAAAAAAAAAAAAAACCCATCAAACTGTCAGCCACGTCGAATAACGAATGTAATAGGCCTACTTGACTAACTCATTATTGTAACGCGTACTCTCCCGTCGTCAAACTCGAAAGTTTCATCTGTGCATGGTAAGAAACCCGGGTGTGAATGTGGAGGCAGTTAAGACAGTGTTAATGGTCAAAACACATTCTACACGGTCATGTACTGAATGTTATCACTATTTATCCCGGTTTCTTGGTTTAGAAATCTGGTCGCCTTAATATTACACGACTTTTTGGGTGTAGAGGAAAGCGTCTTGTTATCTTGAAGCCTTTGCTTCACGTCTATGCGTCTCCCTTTCATATATTTTTTATATTTATTATTCGTTGTTGTTGTACAAAGTACATCTCAAGAACAGTGAAGAAATAAAAAAAATTGATAAAAAGGATCCACTGAAGAAGATTGTGGAGGAATTTTTTGCCCAACACTGAGTTTATATAATGTGAATTTGGGGTAGAATAATTCGATTCACTTAAGCCTAACCCACTTTATAGTTCCGTGTTAACTTGATAATTAAATTCAAATATTCTCGTGTGGAGTTCCCCTGTAGGACAGCGGTAAGTCTACGGATTTACAACGTTGAAATTAGGGGTTCGATTCCACTCAGTGGACACAGCCTGATGTGGTTTTGCTATAAGAAAACACAAACATAAAAAATTCCAAACATCTGACGACTTCGCCTACTTTTTTAACTATCGGTAAAAATAAATACATATTTCGAAACAGTGGATACTTCCAACAAACAAATATGTAAGCGTGTATAGGGCGAGCATGATCTAGTGGATAGCGTGCTGGTCTGAGTACCGTCAAGCCCAAGGACCGATCCCTGATGCTGCTGTCCACACTCCGTACTCTCAGTTGGTGAGGCATTTTAAATGTAAATCGATTCCTATTATTCCTTTACATGAACCGGATTAATTCTTTATGACAGCGAATACTGCCGCCTGATTACCCTCCATCTGGTCAGTTATTCAAATTAAGGAT